TACAAAATTTATTTGGGGAGGAATTACATAATTTATTGCAATATAATTGAATACATTCTTCATGATGCATGATGGTATGCATACTTCTATCTCTCCAATTAAATACAAGCATATTTATATGATGACTCCATTAAGAGGTAAATTGACAAAATAAAATTACCTAACCAAACTGCCCCCCACCAAGATTGTGCCTACTGTTAGTGTCTTCATGAGGCAGAGCCTTAATGTGAGTGCTTTTCCTCAGATTAATCCACAAAAAAAAGGTAGCTTTGCCTATTGTCTAGGGAAAAAAAATATGAATGAATATTTTGATTATTTTTCAATAAGAGTAACATAAAGATCAGAAATCCACATTTTAAAAGGGTTACAACTTAAAAAAAGTTTCCTAGTGTCATTTTAATTTGTTTTACCAAAAGTATAGGAAAATTATATCCATATATCTATTAATAATTAAATGAAATCCCTGTCTCCAAAGACATGATTCTGAGTCTATGCCATTACTGTGTTCTTCTACTCAATATTGGCCGCATATATGAAATTCATTTGGAATTAGGTCTTAACACAAAAGCCTCAGGATTTGAGCCAGTGTGTGTGTAAACTCCCCCCAATCAAATCAGTGGAAAAGGTATTTCTCAAAAGCTCCTTCCAGAATTGACATCATGAATATGGAATGCTCACCTATTTATTTTTATATGATTTGGGATTTCTCCCTTCATGATATGCAAAACTCTTTTGTGTATTTGGCTGTTAGGCTTTTGCTACGGAAATGGGAAACCTTCACCCAATCACAAACCATACACATTGCTCCTTTGTTTTCTTTTACACTGAGTCTCCTACTGAATCCAAATCATCCGAAGAGAGGGGGCGATACAGGTCCTGTAAGATGAAGGGCGGTATAGATTTGTTTACTTGGCATTCCTGGGTGGCCTGTGGTTTTCTAAGGAGTGGAGCAACACTGCCTAAGGTTAATCCTTGGTTTCTGGGGCTGGAGACACAGTACAATTCATAGGGTACTTGCCTTGTGTACAGTTGACCTGAATTCAATCCTGGTACCCTCTATGTGTCCCTGAGACCAGCCTGGACTGATCCCTGAGCACAGAGCCAGAGAAAGGCCTGACCCTAGAGGAGCGTGGTCCAAAACCAAACAACAAGAACAGAACAACAACAAAAGACTCCTTCCTTTCTAGTGTCATTCAGTGTCTTAGAGTCACAATATCTGGTTAAGAGGAAGCATAATTGAGAAACCACCTCCACAGGGAAACAAAGATGCATATTTGACTTACTGGCAAGAAGACATGAGCTTCCTCTTCCTTATGTCCAGTGAAATTCCCCTTCCTTGTGTCCAGTCTCTGAGATCAACCAACTTTGCTACTAGATACCCTGGCAATGCTTCCCTTGAATAATGTCTTTCCTTTCTGTGCTTATTAGAAACATACTGGCCTCAACAAATAATTTATCAGGTGCCTAAGTTGGCTCCCAGCAAATACTGATCCTAGAACAGTGATGCATTGGTACACAGCAACTCATGTGATGCATTTGTACACAGCACAAACCCAATAAACACTGTCTTTTTGAAATGTTATATTTGGAAGACAGAAAGAATGCAAACTTGACTTCCAGTCTTCACCAATATTCTTCCCTGTTTCTCAAGTGCTCACCCAGCCCTTTCCTCTTCATTTCTCTACTCTATTTTTGCTACTAGATTTCTCAGTTGGTAGCCAGGCAACCAGTTCAGATCTGCAGTGTCTAGATTCTTGGCTACTTTTCGATTTTGTACCACCCACTCCACATCATTTGACTGATCGCATCATCTATGAAAGTCGGTGACATGGGAGATTAATGGGAAATTTCATTCAACCTACACAACACAACTCGTTTCTTCCTGATTAAGAAAGGGACCCAAAAAAGTTCACAGATGGAAAAGAGGCCCCAAAACCTGCCTCTGTTACCTGCCCAATGCTTCTAATCAGCAACATAAAAAACAGTTTTAGAAAAATAATGAGGGTGCTTGGTATATCACCACAGTTTAATGAAGAAAAATGACTGACAAGCAGACTCTTATTGTATAGGACTATTTTAAAATGTCAGAAAACAACATAAAAATATACATTTAAGGAAAGAAACAGTTGATTCATCATAATATAAATCATCCTAATATAAAATACAGATCTTCTTATTTGAAAAGAGTGGTCAAAAAATAAGTAAAATATAACTTGTGTCCTGTGTTTTAAAATGAAGTAGAAAGTGTGTGTGTGCGCGCGCGTGCGTGTGTGTGTGTGTGCTGGGGGTGGGGCAATCAACTCATTTTTCTGTCCATGTTGCTAGGCAACACAGAAGGAAAAATAAAAGTAGCTACTGTTTTCCAATTTGCAACAAAAAGAGAGTTAATTTATTCTTTGATGTGTCTACTTTTAGCACTTGCCATCTCTCACTTATTTCAGTATTTCCTGCATAGGAATATAGCCAACCATTTGAGAGGAACAGTAACCAAATTCGAAACAGGGTCAGTTTTTAGGGATCTTCTAGACCCATTTTAATTGGGAGGGGTTATTTGATGCATTGCCTCCACACCAAGATGAAAGCTCCCCTCTCCAAGACAGCTGGGAATGTCTCCACTCACTGACATGGTACATGGATGGAGGATGTTCATTTATGGCCTGAATTCAAAAGCCAGGAAACTGAACCATCTCTGAATTATCCAGCACTCGCTCACAACATGTGTTTAATAACTGTTTTCAGATGGTGATAAACTCTTTGTCTTCCTAAAACAAAAGGGATTGTTTTTTCCTCTCAAGTTGAGCCCTTGCACTGGTGGTTTAAATGACAAAGTGAAACATCTTTAAGGAAAACATCCTTTATAATCATTTCCCAAGTGCGGGCAATGTTAATTATGTAAGTCATTGGCTGCACAGCTGCTAGCAGCTAGATAGAAATTTTCTGCCTCAGTTGAACAAAATCTTAATGAATCAGAAGATACAAGGGAGCAGAAGTAAAATTTAGCCTCAATTTTGCCAACCAAGTGGCAACTGAGCAAAGCCCCTTCTATCCGCAAGATGGGGGTCTGTCCCCACTAAGCATGCTGGGAGAAAAGCGTGAGTTTGTAGCAGAGACTCACTGCAATTTCATCTAAACAACAAAGCATGCGTGAAAACCTAAATCTGAGTTTAATTAGCTGAAAGGATAAAGAGGAATTTCTAGGCTAGGTAGACTCTGTCAAGTATAAACTTCAAAAGCGACTGTTCTATGCAAGATGTTTGTGCTGTAGCTCACAGCTGCCACTGGGATGGGGTCTTTTTGGGAAACGTTTATTAGAAGAGAATCAGGCCACTACCCTCTCCCTCCACGCAAGAACATATCTTTAGGAGATTAAAGGAATGCAGCCAATTCTCTTCATTAAGTCTTCAATTCGCTAATGATTCTTATACTTCCAAATGCCAAGTTAGACTGTGGCCAAGAAGAAAGTCATGGTGAAAACATTCCAATGGGACTGGAAAAGAATAACTGGGGTTTCTATTTGGAAAGAATCTCTTTTTTGGGGGGTTGGGGGGTGTTACTTTGTTTTTCTCACTGAGGCCTAGAGAAGATAACAAACTTCTCTGTGACAGCATGGCCACTGAGTGGAAGTACAAGAGCCAAACCACACGCCTCACTGCATACTCCAAAAATAAGTTAACGTTCATGGCAGAAGAAGACTCCATGGAGCAGGACAGTACAACCTGATACCTGACGAGACAGACTCCAAAGACAGTGGGCCTGACCAAGTAGCTGTCCATGTTTAGGTCATGGTATGTTGACAAGACCTGAGGATTCTTGAAGATGAGGAATCTATCTTGGGTGCAATTTAAATTTATTGAATTTGAAGCCTCATATTAAATCAGTTTTTTCCACTTTGGAGAAGTCCATGTTCTCTCCTGAACATCTCTCTCCCTCCCTCCCTCCCTCCCTCCCTCCCTCCCTCCCTCCCTCCCTCCCTCCCTCCGTCCCCCCCTCTCTCCTCACTCTTTCTTTTCCTCTCCCCTCCCATTTCTCTATATATACTTCTTTTGGCAAAATAAAGTTATTTTCTAACATAATAAAGTTCAATAAACCAAATATTGAAAAAAGCCGAATTTAAGAGGCCAGTCTTCGGGTTCAGAAGTACCCCAAGAACCCTGGCATGGGAAAGTGCTGGGTGAGCTCCTAGAAAGGCTCTGAAGCCACTTTCTTTCCCATCTCCCTTCTAAAATGAGGCTCATGGGAGACTTTCCAGATACTCCACTGCGCCTTCCCTCTTCTTCCCTTCTCCCACCTCTCTTCATGCCGTGCAGCTACAGAAAAAAGCCCGCGATACATGCTGGAAGGAAAAGAACAGCAATTCTTCCATCCTGAAGGAAGAGCTAATCTTCCCCCCACTGCCTTAGCATAAAGAATCCAAGAAAGAAACTGCTATCTTGTTCTTCAAGGTCAGTCAACTTCTCCATTATTACACAGGAAGCCCCCCTCCCTGCCCTCCAAAAAAGGAAAAAAATCTCAAGTAGTGATGAAAGCAAACATGCTCAATGTGAGTTTCATTCACAGAAACACAAGTCGCATGCACCCCTCCCCTGTGTCACATTTCTTGAGCTCTGGGCCACCAGCCTATGCCACCACCTTAGCACCGTGGCTCACTCCCCCAGCAATGGCACTTTCCTTGTTAATGTCTGATAATTCCTGCTGATGTTGGCAAACGCAACTTGTTCAACTAAGAAGCTGACAGACCCGTGACAAGCAGGTTTTAGTGCATTCAGAAAAGGACAGGCTATTTGAAAGGAATGAAGCAAGTGATTATTCCTCTCAGAGTTCCAATGAGGACAACCATCCAGAGAAATTAGAAGTCCTGAGTTCTTCCCCTCCTATCCTGGACTGGCTATTCCTTAGAGACAAACAGCACTATCATGACAAGGCCACTTGCTGGCACCTGTGCCACTTTGCACCCACGTTCAGACAGGTCTTAAACAACCAGGTGGCGCCCATCTCCTTACCCTCTGCTTCCGCAGGCTCCCAGGGCTGGTGGGTGACGGGCTGGGCGACTTGCCGGAGCGCGGAGTAGAAAGCTGACTGCCAGGGGTTCCATTAACTGAAAGTACAAAGAATCACAGACGGGGGGAAAGACACGTCAAAGTGTTTTCATGACAGGTGCTCTTCGAGGATTTAGCAAAACAACTATAAAGGAACAGTTGCTAAACTTCCAGCCACCTTTCTATCTGCGGTCCTGAAAGAGAGCCCAGGGGAATGAACCTTCTTTAGAAATTCACTGTGCGCCCTGAGTTTTAATACAGCAGCCCATTACATAAAATCTTTTTTTTCAGTGTATTTTTACAACTTCCCTGGTGAATTATTAATGATGGTTTCTGGAGCTGGGAGAGACTTTAGAAATGTGATAAATGTCCTGACACATTTCAATGGGATTCACTCTTAATTCTTCAGTTTAGCCTCCCTGTCTTACCCTGGAGTAGTAAAATATTAGGGCAGTTCGCAAGTGAGATTCCCCATGACTTGTTAAAATAGATCATACAGACTTTTTGTGGGTCAGAACTCACTTCTCAAAGTTCCTGCAGTCTCTGTGTCCTAGACAATGTTGCACTTGCCCATGCCCTAACTGTGAATGAAGTACCTGACAAAGTAACTGGCAGTGATGATCAGGACCTCCTTAAAATGTGTCTCTTTTACTCTCAAAATTAAAGCTGCTTTTTAAAATAGGGCTAAATCACAGGATTCTAGCCAATTCTCAAGTCTTTAATAAAAATTTCTCATTAAATTGAACCACAACTCCAGATCTCAAGTAAGCATTTCCTTTCTCTGAAGAGCTCTACCTTTTAGCACTGACAAAACACTGAACCACATGCTTTTTAAGACACAGAAGATCTCTCCTTACCTGTAAAAATACCATTTTTACATCTTTTATATCCACAATCAAGGAAGTCAAATTAGTAGTGAGACACACACATCTCAAGGGTGCAAAACAACATTTTCCACGAGGGAGAGCAAGAATGCATTTTTAACTTACCTTCTATGAGTTCTAACATGGACACAGTGTTTGACCTGACACTAGCAAGAGGCGAAATTCTTTTTCAGCACTAAGCCGGGCACCCGCGGAAATGGGAGGCGTTGGATTAGTTAAGGATGGCTAAGGCTGCTCCCAGAGCGGGCTGAATGAGATGCAGGATTCATCAGCAGATGCCTTTTCTGCGTAAGGCTGACGTATTCCAAGCAGCAGTGGGAGGTGCGGGTTCTGTCTTAGGCTACATCAAAGGTGTCAATTAAGCCTCATGCCAACGCAGAGCGCTGCATCCCCCACCCGGCTCCACTAACTCCGGAAGCCGAGCCCTTTCAGTACTTAGCACTGAATCATAATAAAGTGCCTCTGGGGGCAAGAAACCCAGTGACTCATCCGAAAAGCAAAATGACAATAACGCTTCTAAAGTCTGGTGGCTCCGTGGTAATGAGCACACCCTCACAGCATTTGGAGGCAAGGTACAATGTTTATTGATTTTTCACAACTCTTGGAGCCCATGAAAGTGGGAAGCTCCCTATTTTGTCATCTTCTCCAAAGACCTTTAAAATCCAAGCTACACTGTTCCCTAACAGGACTGAATCACATAATTCTAGCTGTGATTTGTACTGACCACTGAACAGTAATCCAGAGAACAGTACATTTAATTGCTGTTAAAATGTACGTGGGGACTCTTTTTTTTTTAGTGTGTGTGTGTGTGTGTGTATGTGTGTGTGTGATATTTCAGCTGGAAGTCCTGAGAATGTTTTGATTTGCTTGCATTCTGTAGCCCTGTTTTTGCTGAATAAACCTGATGCTCAATCCTTTGGCCCTGTATTTTCCAGCCAGCTGCCTCTATGGATAGGGGTCTGAACTGGACTAGGACAAAAGAAATGCTGGGTGCAGCAGTACAGATTACTGAGATAAAGCAAGGGGTGTGGTTCGAATTGATGGGAAGACAAGTTTTATGACTGTATGTTTTACATAATACCTAAAGGCTATACTGATTTAACCTCCCCAAAAAGATAGAATGTGAAAGAAAACACAAATTAATATTTTATTTTTTGCTTTTGAGATTCTAACCTTGTCAAGTTATGGCAAATAAAGAGAAAGAGTATGCCCAGGAAAACAGCCTTAGAAATACTGTAATTTCAACAAAACAACACCAAAAGTTTTTAATTTCGCAAACAGTCATTATACATATAACCTCAGTTTTATCAAAAGTTTTATGTTCAATGTTCAGTTTTATGTTCAATGGGACAGCAAAGAGTTAATGGAATCTGGAACATGTACATACATACAATGCATGTATAATCTCATTTAACTATCACAACAGCTACAAGGCAGACAATATCATTTTACAGAAGAGAAAACTGAGGCGTTTAAAACAGTGCATATGGAGCAGAGCTCAAAATCCAAGCAAGACAATCCAGACTGAACTCTTCACCATCACCTCCCCTGATCCCCTTCCAACCAGCAGGCACCAAACTAGTAATCACAATTCACCATTTAAGGAGGGAAGATTCTGGCTGTTGCTATTAGAGTCCTAACAACCTACGGCGATGCTGTTAGCCCAAGCACTAGAGACAGGGGAATGGGTAATGAAGCCAGAACCAACGTACGGAGGAGGAACTCATTTTGTTCAGTGGGATAAGGATCAATGAAGGAAAAGTGTTTGGGTTTTTTTTTTTTTTTTTTTTTTTGCTTTTTGGGTCATGCCTGGCGATGCACACACAGGACTTACTCCTGGCTCTGCACTCAGGAGTTACTCCTGGCAGTGCTCATGGGGTGCTGGGAATTGAACCTGGGTTGGCCGTGTGCAAGGCAAACGCCCTACCCGCTGTGCTATCTCTCCAGTCCAGGAAAGGTGTTTTAAGAAGCAGAAACCACCTGGATCCTACAAAGGTGTAGAGGATGGAGGCCACGTGAAACAGTAAGAGACCAGAATGAGCTAGCTGAGCAGGTAAGTGGAACTGGAGATACAGAACTTTATGGCTAAGGCTGGATAAGGAGGCTCAGGTGGCATAAGGCAGAGCTTGGAAACTCATTAAGGAGTTTGGGTTTTGGCCAAAGGGCAAGGAGGAAACTACTGAATTATTTTAAGCAGGAGCCTCGGGTCAAATTTGCATTTAAAAACAAAAACTTTCAGGAGCATTTGTCTTCTCAAGAACGAATTAAAGAATACCCTGTGAGGTGTCTCTGAGGATGTCTAGGCAGAGGTGAGTCATATTTAAAGGTCCTATGGTGAGAGTTGTTGGGGCTGGTGATGGAGATAAATGGAGCCATTGCAGAGAAGTCAGAGATAAAACAATAAGAAGTGGTTGGCGATTTTTTCTGCTTCAGATAAGGAAGCTGAATTTCAGAGAAATTAGCCAATGACACAAACAGCTGGAAGGTGACAGAGCTAGAGCTGGCTCTGATTTTCATGTCTTACTAAAAGAAATGCACACTTTTTTCATTAGTAACTTGTCCTGACACCTAATAGCATGTTCAGGGCTCTTGTCCCAGGTCTGCAGGGCTAAGAACAATTAGAATTCTTTCATCACTGGGATGCTAGGATTTTCCGCATTTATTGAAAGTAGTGAAAGTAGCTGAGCTTAAGACTTCTATCTGGGTTGCTCTCTTTATGGAGAAGCGAATCTCATGTGACAAACAGGTACTTACAAGCAAGTGTGCTTGAATACAACACACTTCAAAGTTGGAAAAGACTTGTTCTTAGCTGTCAGAGGTCTGTTCAGATTGTCATTATTAGCCACCTAATAAAGCATCAGCAACTTTCTCAAACCCTTTCTTAATATCTAGAAAACAGCATATACCTTAGTGTGTAATCACTGGTGGAATAAATCATACTATTCCATTGGCAAGTTTGACACATGTATTGAGATTTTTCTCTTGTAATGCTGGAAGTTCCTGAGTGCCAATATAAAGTGTTTGCCATCTATTTACTAGAAGTAATTAAAATTCAGCTAAAAAAATAACGTTAATGTGGGATTTCTTAATTTGTTAAGAAATTTCTTAATTTGTTAAGAAATTCTTTAAATTAAGCCATAGGAATAAGCTTACAAAAGAGTGGAAGATCTATGCAATAAAGGTTATAAACGCTGTTAAGAGAACTAAAAGAAAGTACAAAACATAGAAAGATGTTCTGTTTTTATGGGTTAGAAAGCTAGCCATTTTAAATTTCTACTCAAAGCAATTTCTAGATTTAATGCAATTCTTAACAAAATTCTAAGAAATTTCTCTGGAAATAGAATAAGACATTATTGAAACTTTCAAGGCACCACAAAAAACTTCAGACAGCCAAAGCAATCCTGAGAAAAATAAAGATGAAGGCATCATGCTCCCTTCAATAGCTCAGATGGCAGAGTAGAGAACTGTATACTACAAAGATGAAAGGTATCAAATTCCTTAGTCACAGACTATATTACAAAGCAATAGTAATAAGAACAGCAAGGCTTTGGGTCAAAAATAGACACATGACTCAATGGAATAGAATCTAGTCTAGAAAAATATTCACATAAAGAAGCCAAGTACATACAACGGGGAAAGGGAAGTCTCTTTAACAAATTATGCTGAGAAACTAAGTACCTACATGTAAATACTGAAGTTAGATCACCATCTCATACACTAAAATAATCCAAAATGAATGAAAGATTTGGATGTAGAACTTGCATGCAACAAATGCATAGAGAAAAACATAGGCAAAGTATTCTATGGCATTGACTTAGTGAAGCCTTTTTTTTTTCTTTTTGAGTCACACCCGGTGAAGCACAGGGGTTACTCCTGGCTCTGCACTCAGGAATTACTCCAGGTGGTGCTCAGGGGACCATATGGGATTCTGGGAATCGAACCAGGGTTGGCCACGTGCAAGGCAAATATTCTACCCACTGCGCTATGGTTTCAGCACCTTTAGTGAAGCCTTTGAGAACTATAGTGTAACAGTTTTGCAGGATGTAGTACAGGAAATCCCTAAGCACCATGTGGGTGGTCCTGGTAGACTCTGGCACTACAGAGCCCTAGAACATCACCTGGGAGGTTCAACCCGACAGACTACAGATCAACTGTAGATCTGATATCTATCATCT